TTCCTGTTTCTTTTTTTTGCACAGGCTTTTTGATAGTGGTAGGTGTCACAGAGCCTGATGTAGCGTGAAAATTAAGTTTGTGTGTTTGACTTGTGACTTTCTTTATACCAATACAACTTTCCAACTTCTAAATAAATAAATATATATGTATCTACCTAAATATATATATTATATATTTATTATATATTATTTGTATTAATAAATTGAATAATATTTGAAGATTTTACATTGCATTTCTTGGTTGAGGTAATATAGAAGTTTCTATTTTGATGATTTATAATGTTTTGTATATGTAATTTAATACTTAAAATACTATAAAATATTTATAAATATTAATAAATTAAATACCGATTCAACCGGTTCAACCACTGGTCGGACCAGTAAACCATTGAACCAATAGCTTGACCGGTTTGATGACCGGTTCGGTTTTCAGAAAATTGCTAAACCTTTCAACTTTGAGAACTTTTCTCGGGCACTACTGAAAACTCTTTCTTGTCAAAACCTTCTAAAAATGTTCTTCTTTCCTTTAAAAACTTAACCTAAACCTCACACTTAGGGTTTTAGGAAATTACTTCCCAGACTTCTTTCTTGCTTCTCAAGCAATCGAGACATAATAAAACTTTCAAAATGCTCAAAGTCTCAATCAACGTACTTGGTCTCCGTCTCAGACCATGAAATAACCAAAACAAACAATGAGTTTGTCAAATGCCTGCGGAAGCATAAAATAATTAACATCATTTGACCACCCTCACCCTTCCGTGTCCGTCACCAGCTGCTCAACCTAAAAATGGGGGATGTGGGGTGGTGAGCAAAACACTAGCTTACCTTGGGTAACCATACTATTGGATTATTCAGAATAATAATAGATACCATGATATTAGTATGAAACATGAATAAACTGATATAGTTGCCCCTCACAGGCAGGGTTAACTGATTTTGCCCTTCACAGGCAGGGTTATAAATGCTTTGCCCCTCAAGCGTTTCCCCTCACAGCCAGGGTTAACTGAATGCCCCTCACAGGCGAGAATACTCATAAAACATACCGCAGTCATAATATCATGTAATTATAAAGAATAAGATATAGTATAGAAACACCCCACCTAAGATCAGATGAATGAATATGTTGATGTCTCAATGAAATGCTCGAGGGCTCGACTCCTCGAAATCTACATTTTGAGAAACTTAACTTTTATAAATATCTCATTTGTCTCTTGATAAAATAAATTACAAACTTATTTAAAAGGAATTTATTTTATCTTTGAGAGTTCTTAATTTATTTAATTAACTTAAATGCAAAACTCTCGGCAAAGGGGTAAAATATGGCTCGGAAAGAGGTTCTCAGAATTGAAAACTAGCTCAGCTAAGATTCAACTTCAAAATACGTAACGCTTGGCTCAAGCTAACACTTAGGCTCGCGTGACATTCGAAAATGGAGCATATCTTTTAATATAAAATATGCATAGTGTTGAATCTTTATCCTACCGAACACTAAGAGGCATATCTACAACAATGATGAAGACTCAAAGTTCAAAAGAATATGTTATAATAGAGTACTAGTGTAACGCCCCAATTTATTTATTAAAAATCAGAGTTTTTTTTTAAATCAATTCAAAATTTAAAACTCAACGGGCGCTACTTAGCTATTGACAACATTTAAACAGTTATGACACATAGACAAATCCTACACACAACATTTATCATATTGATCCAACTTATTCAAGTTTCAACATCATCCAAAACATTTAACATAAACCATAGTTTCAACGGGAACATAAATAATCCAAATTCAACGGAAGCATTAATAATCCAAAACGAAAACAAGTAGTTTTTCATAAATACAATCAAGCGGAAGCAACAGACACATCCATTTATGACCACCATCTCGCTCGTCCTACGCCACCGCCTCCAGCTCGTCTCAACCTAGAACAAAGGAAGAGAGAAGACAACAAAGAAAATAATGGGGGTGAGCAACCAACAAGCTCACCATTATCGCACAATTATCCCATATAATTATTTTAAAAGCAGAGTAATCACAGTATGCACAGAGTTCAAAGTCTAAACCCCCTACCTGACCCTATCGCAAACCTCCTATGTACATACAACAACCTTCCGGATACAACGGCATGGCTGTAACTGAAAACCTTCCCACCCCCGGGTACAACGGTTCGTAGGATACTTTCCAGGAGACAGCAGAAATGTTTTTTCCCTTCCGGGTACAACGGCTTGGGGCGTCCCTCCCGGATACAACGGGCAGGTGACCTCCTACTGCTTTCGCATTTATCAAAGGCATTATCGTTCGGGACACTTAGACTAGAGTTCTCATGCATACAACATTTTCAAAAGAAACATTACACGAAATAGTAAGTGCGATAAATATGGAATACATCATAAATGTACCCACCTGGATGCAGCAACAGATCAAATCACGAATCTCGAAATGAGGCGAGGTCAACACCTCTAGACACCTACATTAAGTCCAGATACTAAAGTCAACACTTTAATCTAGACCTAAGCAGCAACTCACAAATTTGACTTAGCCGAACTTGATTCGACCAAGTGGTTCGTGAAGTTCTGTGGATATGGGAACTCTAGGACTTAGACTCGACCAAAACACATATTCAAGTTCACATAATCGCAAATGAAAGACAATCACATGAGTCACAAGTAACTCATAATGAGATGTGATCACCAACACTTAACCAAAAATCACCATATAAAACAATTGTCAAAATTCACACTTGCATTTGAAAGTATATCAAACCAATGAGTTAGACTCTGAAAATTTTACATAAAATTCAACTCCCAGAATTTAGCAAAAACACTAAGTTTCAGCCTCAAACTCGTTACACTCAAATTTATAAAATTCATACAAGTTTTTCAACAAAAATGAGTCTAAATCAGAAACACAAGTTAATGAACGATTCAAGCCATGAAATTTTTATCTAAGAAACATGAGCATGTGAACAGCAACACATAAAAATATCAGCCTTTAACACTCAGTATATGAATTTATAAAATTAAAACAACATTCAGCAAATTATTGAATTTATATCAAAACTGAACCTAACTAAACTCCAAAAATTTCAAACGTTTTACAACATGCTAAAAATCACAAAATCAGCACCTCAATCAAAATTCAGAATTTTTAACCTTCGGACCAATTTATCACAATTAAAACAAATTTGGGTAGAAACACCAATTAAATTATTAACCCTATCAAACCTAGTCCAAAAATTCTAACAATTTTCCACAACACATAAATATACCAGAGACATATCATACTCGAAAATCAGCCAAATTAGAGCACCACAAATTATTTATGCATTTTACAAGAAACTAAACAGAAATCAAATTAATTTTTATAAATATCTCCGGACCTTCACAAATCACGAAAATCTTACAAAAGTTACACATTCATCAAAAACAGTTGCACCTAAAATTTCAAGGCAATCGGACCAGTATTCAATTTATGGTGAATTTTACATTCGAAACACCAATTACAATCTTCAAAAAATCATAACTTCAAATTTACACGCCCAATTGACACAAGGTCAACGCCATTGTGTTCGTAATAATCCTAAGTCCCTAAATCCACAGAAACTACTCACTTATAACCAATTCTCGTTCGATTCATACGAATCGACGAGTTTCACATAAAATCTCGACAATATATATATACAACGAACAATTTCAAACACATATATATAGTTCAATGAACACGTAAAGCACAATCGATCACAACATAATTTACATAAAACTAAATGAGAAGTCGATACTCGATACCGTTCTTGGGAAACGAGCGAGAAAGGTTCGAACGAGAGAAGATGGCTCGACGGCTTCGCGCGGCTCGCCGAGAAAGAGAAGGTGGGAGGGAGAGCGTCTTCGCGGCGGAGGGAGAACTTCACGACGGCGTGAGGAGACTTGCAGGCAAAGGGTCTTCTCGTTGATGGAGGTGGACGGCGGCAGCGACTGTGGCGAGCGGCTGAAGGAGATGGCCGCGCGATAGGGACGAGGACGGCGATAGTGTTCGCGAGCCGGGAAGATGACGGAGAAGACGATCGGCTTTGCTAGGAGACGATCGAGAAGAAGAAAGAAAATATGCTAGCGGCGCGAGAGAAAAAGAACAGGGACGTGAGTTTGAGGCGCGGCGTGATACCGAGAGAGAGGAAGAGATTGAGAGAGAAAAGGTTTTTTTTTTTTTTTTTAAAGCTGCGTAAATTGATTTTGAAGAAGAAGAAAATAGATACAAACCATATATACATATACACAATGATTAGGTTTGACTATTCTTGATGAGCAAGAAATCATATGCGGGAAAAGAAAGAAAACGAGGGCCGGATTTGGCTATTGGACCGGTCCTTGAAACAATGAATTGGCTCACGGGCTCGGGTTCGGTTCACTCGTGTATGGTCGGGCTCGATTTCGATTCAAACGCACGATAAAAATAAATCGAACTATAATATATATTTCATATATATTAATACACATTTTTCTCATTTAATAATTAATCACGAAAGTCAATTAGACAATTAGACAATTAGCATTTAATCACATTTAGGCATTTAATAATATTAAGGCATTCAAGAAAAATATAAATATAAATATTATCATAAAAATAATATAATAATAATAATAATTAATCATATGTTGGACATAAAAATAACAATTAGACAGACCGCGCAATAATCATATGTTGGACATAACATTCAGTGTAAAAGAGATAATCTTCTGATTTCTTGCGCCTATGTTGATGCCTATTTCAACATAAGATACACATCTACCATTTATGTTAAGACATCAAAATCATTCGATTAAAAGACGATGGCTAAAACAACAAAGAATGTACAGACTTGTACGACCATGATTATCAAGGAACACTGACTGCGCAACGATCAATCTTTCTTCATAAATTTTAATACAAAATTGATAATCACTTGATCTTTGTTCTCTATGAAACATAAGAGACTGAACTTCAAATCACATGAAGAGTTTGAAAACATATGACTGAGTTTCAGGGGAACAGTGAGGGAACAACATGTAGAACGCAGGGAAAACATAATCAAGTAATGCCAAAAACTCGGTTCTTTCTCTCAAGCAATCAAATAAATCTCAAGGCTTCAAGTATTTATCTATATCTGTAGTTGTATGTATATTAGTTGTATTTAGGCTTTGCACGCATAGTCGAACGGACTCTCGAGGACGGTCTGGACCTCGGCATCTACAAGGCAATATTGGTTGGGCAGCTAGGGCAGGTGCCTATTCAGAAGAAACTCAAGAGCGGCAAAATAGTCACGCTGCTGTTCGTGGGAACCGGAGGCATTTGGAACAACTAGCGTCCGCTGGATAACGAGGACCCGAGGGAGTACGCTAACCGCTATAACGTGCAGTGGCATCGGGTTTCCGTCTACCCGGAGAGGCTGGGTGACCTCGCTGCCAAGAATTTCGTCCCTGGCCCGATCCTGTACGTGGAAGGGAATCTGGAGTCGAAGGCCTTCAATGACCCCATCACGGGCCTCGTCCGGCGGATTCAAGAGGTGGCCGTTCGGAGGCAGTGAAATGGCTTGGCGTTCAGGGCAATGATCTCATAGTTGGTACGTACTTAACAATTTTTACTCGCCATTATTATGTTCGATGAAATTTCTAACAAGTTAATAAAAGAATTACGTTCTTCCTTCTTATCTATAGCTACCTTTTTAAAATAGAAACACATCACTGCTGTTTGAATAAGAAACTAGGTCTTGTGTATGGTTATGATTTTGTATACATAATAATTTGGGAGGATTTTGATTGAAAAATGTTGGGAACAATCAAGATTTCATTGTGATAAATAGCTGGTAAGTAGAAATGAGACAACTGGGAACAAAACCTTTTTGCAGGAACCACAACCCTAGAGGCTGTAAAGAAAACAGTCGACCCTTCCACCTAAGTCGTCTACAAGAAAAACTCCACCAAATACTATGTGAGGTCGAACAATTTCTCTTATGGAACTGTGGTCGTGGGCGAGGTCCCATATGCCGAGATGTTTGGAGACAGCAAGAACCTAAGCATAGCCGAACCAGGACCGAGCACATTCAACAACGTCTGTGGGGTCCCTCAGATGTGTAGTTGACATCATATCTGGGCGCCCACTCATAGTCGAGCCCTACCTTGCCCAGATAGAAGCGTTAGTGGTAGCATGGATTCTGGGGGCAGAAGGCCAAGGCGTGGCCGACCTCCTATTCGGGGACTACAGTTTCATGGGAAAACTCATCAGCGCTTGGTTTAAGTCAGTCAAGCAGCTTCCCATGAACGTAGAGGACCCACATTATGATCCCCTTTTCTCATTTGGGTTTGGCCTGACAAGTGACAACTGAAGTATTCATGTGTGATTTTACACCATATTTATATAGTATCTAGAGCTTATTCATTGCATTATTGGTGTATAAATTGCATTATTGTGCTTTAATTCTATTCTTGTTGGAAAGGTGTTACATGTGCTTGTTTTGTAGATATTTTCACATATTTGTAGAGCTTGTGGCTATTGGAGGTGCATGGTGAGTACCTATGACCCCCGGGATGATGAAAGATTCATACACGGATGAAAAAAATGAAAAAAACGAGTGGAAAGTGCAAAACAAAGAGTGCAGATTTGTGACATGGGCGTCATGCTCGTGTCAGAGGCCATGTCACCTCAACAGTGAAATTTTGAAGCTTAAAACGTGACACGGAATGCGACACTGTTCGTGACACAAGCAGAATGGCCGTGTGGCCGTGTCGAGCGCGTAGGTTGTTCTTTATATTTTCCCTATTTTAAAATGAGAAGGGTTTTGGACATTATAAATGACACATTTACCCTATTTTGAGAGGGGAGAACGTGGGAAACAAGAAGAGGAGCCCTAGAATACATAAGAGAAGCAATTTGGGGTGCAAAAGAAGATCCAACTACGAAGGAATCGAGAAGATTGAAAGATCGAAGAGATTCCTAATTTTTCTTTCTTCTTCATTTTGAACTTTTATTTATCATGTCTATTTCTAATACGTCTATGTATTTGAATTCGAACATGAGTGGCTAGTTTATTTGATTCTGGGACTTGGTAGTAGATTAATATGTTGGGATTTTGGATGATTTATTTATAATTAATTCTTTTTCTTTTGAACCATATTTAAATATTTTGTTCTTATTTCATGTTTAGCACTTGGTCAATGCTTTTACATGTTTGACAATATTGTATATAATTCGAGAGATGAGTTCAATATTAGGTCTTTAGTATTTGACACAATTTACTTGCTTGAATCGAGAGATTAGTAGGTCGTTGTGAGGATAATAGATCTTTTAATCTATTTGGAGTTGAATTGCATGTGTTGAGTGGAGACACTAATATATATGATTTAATCTATGGTTTTATCGATCTCGAGAGGGACGATAAGCTAAATTTGTGATCATCTTATAGGGTAGATAAAGAAAACTTTTAGTTGTGATATTTCTGAAGAATCCTAACTGTTAATTGAAACCATAGTCTTAGAATCTATCATTCTCATATATTTGTTTTTACGTGTTTTCTAGTTAGTTCTTTGTACTTACATTATTTTCTTTTGATTTATTTTCTTAGTTTAGTTAATCCATCTCATATTCGATTGTCTAAATAAAGTGGACACTATCATAATCTTGTACTTGATATATTAATTATTTGGGTCTCTTGGGATACGACCTTGTGGCATGACCTTGCTTGCCACATACTACGAGCAAAGCCGCACACTTGCGGTCGAGCTTTAAAAATATAGGCGAACATAAAGCTAGCAGTATTTACTATTTAGTGGTTTCAACAACTTTCTTCGCATAAACTATTCCAACACTCAAGCACTAGTTTGCTATAACTAATAATTATATTTCATTCAAAATAAATAATTTTGTACATGCAGGGAAGAAATAAATTTGTAAGAGTGCTCTTTGTAAGTTATTTTCCTACATCAAGCACATAGTGCACAACACGAACCTAAAGGCTAAATATAACATTTGTTATACAACTTAATTTCAAATAAGCGGGTTCACAAAATCGGAAGGTATAGGAACATTGGTCGGTGACTTTTAGCCAAACCAGTTGTTCTATAATATAATTTGGTGTCACAAAAGCCAAAAACCTGCCGCCTCACATAACATCAAGTTAGCATCTTGGTTATACTAACCAATGTATCACGAAATTCCTGAATCTCTTAACCAAATTTTTAACTTATCTGACTAATGCCACAGGATGCAAATCACAAATTTGCCCCTTATCATTCCATTGTTGTCCTTCCAATAAGCAGTTCAAAGGAAACATAACTATAAGAGGACAATCAATAACATAAAAGCAGAATCACCTCAGTAATGGCCAACGCACAAAACATCAGCTCTGAACCACCTGTATTCCCTAGGAACAAAACCTGCCCGTTCCTCCGAACGGCCACCTCTCAAATCCACAGGACGAGGCCTGTGATGGGGTCATTGAAGACCTTTGACTCCAGATTTCCTTCCACGTACAGGATCGAGCCAGGGACAAAATTCTTGGGGGCGAGGTCATCCAGCCTCTCCTGGTAGACGGAAACCGATGCCACTGCACGTTACAGCGGTTGGCGTACTCCTTTAGCGGCCTCCGGTTGTTCCTAGTGCCTTCGGTTCTCACGGACAGCAACGTAACCGTTTTTCCGCTCTTGAGTTTCTTCTGGATAGGCGCCTGCCCTAGCTACCCAACCAATGTTGCCTTGTAGATGCCGAGGTCCAGGCCGTCCTCGAGAGTCCATTTGCCAGTGTGTGCAAAGCCTAAATACAACTAATATATATAATATAGATATAGATAGGCCTCCACATCCACAAAAGTTAGAAAATCTCCAATGACACAATGACCTTGTTTGGTAATCAGCGGTTAACTGTTAGCTGTTTGCATTAGCTATTTTGACCAGCGGATTGCATTAGCTGTTTTGACCAGCTGATTGTGTTAGCGGTTTGTAAAAGAGTGTTTGGTAAAATTAGCTAGTTTAAATTAGTTGTTAACATGTAAAATTACTTATAAGGACATCAACATATTTTATCATTCCTATTTATGTTGAGTTGTGTGTACAAAATATTCTAAATTTTGAAGAAATAATTTATGTATATATATTTATGAGGTATATTTTTATAATGATAAAATAATAATAATATTAAAATTTTGATGTATACATTTTTTTATGAATTATTTATTTTTTATATTTTTATGTATGTAGAAAACTTATTATTTTATTCAGTTGGTCAAGTGACTCGATGTTGAATTAATAACATGATGATTTCATAGGTCAATTAAGAAATGGTGTATACGAAAATTGTGCATAAAAATGGCCATTTGCTTCACCATTCTTTTATTCCCATCCATTAATATGTGAAAGACGCATTACATATATTGACACTGAAAGGAGAAATAAGAAGGGCAGTCATGACTTTACATTTATTGTCTCAAAAGCCAAAATGCAAAGCGCTCCAAATCTCAGCGTTTTCATTTTTCAGCGGTTGGGTGAAAAAATCTGACCTTAAAAGCTAATTACCAAACATCTTTTTGGTTGGATTAAAAGTTAAAACGCTATTTCACCAAAACCACTAAAATATGGCCAAACGCAATTTTACCAAACAAGGCCAATATCTATTTTGAGATGTATAGTGTGGAGGAAAGAAATAAAAATATTTCTGTCTCCAATGTTAATGTCAATTATGGAATAATTACTTTAACTCATGTAAAATAATAATTTATTTATAGAAAGAGAAGAATAAAATAAATTATATAGTATACAATAGAATATGTTTAAAAGTTTTCATAATTTAACTCATGTAAAATATTCATTGATTTATAGAGAGAGAAATATAAAATAAATTATATATATACAATAGAATATGTCTAGAAGTCTTTCTGCATCTAGAAAACTTCTAAATATTTTAAATGTCATATTGAATTTTAAAGGCCACATGACAATGATTTAGAGCATTTACAATGTTTTAGGTTCATTAAAAAAAAAAGTATATGCCACATCGGATATAGATTCGAACCTAAAAATATATATTCTCCATTGCAAGTGCAATTCAACCGGGTCTTGCTGATGTGACAACAAGAAAAAAAAAATCATTCTACCCTTAAGTCTATTTTAGATTCAAGTAGAGACTCGATCTCTTTGCAATGGTGTGCATTACTTTTGTCTTTTATGTAATTCTATCTATGACATTCAAGACTTAAGTTTATCTATATGACACGTAAATAAAACTAGACCCAAAGCGTTTTGAAACACTAGATACTCATAATCTCGTACAGTGCACTACAAACATGGCCAAAACACCTGGCCCAGCACGGCGGGCCGACATTCTCGGAGTCATGGACCCTGAACCGACACAGACCTAGGTCGTGCCGGGTCCATAGCCCGACGGGCCGAGCCGTGCCCAACCCCATCCAAATAAGAAAAAAAGAGAAAATTTAAAAAACAAACAAAAGCACCCGGTCAGGACCGGACCGAACCCGAACCGCCGAGTCAAGGTCGAAAAAACTGGGCCGGCCCGATAAAATTCGAGTCGGGCCCAGGGCCGTGGTCAACGGACGTAACAGGGGACGGTCCATGCTGGGCCGGCGGGTGGGATGGCCCATGGCCACCTCTAGACTGCCCTAGCTTGTCGACGACGGAAATGTTACCGCCTTAGAGCATCTTTAACGGTAAGGTTTTTAAAGATTTAAAAACCCAAACCTCTCAATTTTATTATTCAAGTGACGAGGTTTGAGGTTTGAGTTTTAGGTTTGATGAGGTTTGAGGTTTAAAAACCCAAACCTCTTGAAAACCTTTGGCCCACTGACAATCCTGACACTTCTTTATTTTTTTACTATATTCCGTCAAAAAAAGTTGGCCTGCACATGCCACTCAAATTTTCTAAAATTACCTATATATGTTAAAAAGTGAGACATGAATTAGAGATATATTTGTTTATTAATTCCTTTAACCCGTTTTGTCTAATATTTTTTGCTTATAAAATTCAACTATTTTTGTTAAAATCTGATATCCCAAATTTTATTTATATGATTCTCTTTAATATTTAGAAAAATAATAATTTAAAACGAGCTATTTTAGAACAAGAACGAACACTAACAAACTTTGTTAGTAAAAGAAAGAAGTAAATCAAGGTTGTTTGATTTAAAATAAATGGAGTTACTCGACAGCCCGCAAAAAATATATAAAGCAATTAATTGAAATAAGAACAAGTTGTAGTTGATGTCGAAAAATAACAATTTAAGACGAGCTATTTTCAAACAAGAACGAACACTAACAAACTTTGCTAGTAAAAGAAAGAAGTAAATCAAGGTTGTTTGATTTAAAATAAATGGAGTTACTCGACAGCCTGAAAAAAATAGCTAAAGCAATTAATTGAAATAAGAACGAGTTGTAGTTGTTGTCAAAAAATAACAATTTTAGACGAGCTATTTTCGAACAAGAACGAACACTAACAAACTTTGCTAGTAAAAGAAAGAAGTAAATCAAGGTTATTTGATTTAAAATAAATGGAGTTACTCGACAGCCCGAAAAAAATATGTAAAGCAATTAATTGAAATAAGAACAAGTTGTGGTTGTTGTCGAAAAATAACAATTTAAAACGAGCTATTTTCGAACAAGAACGAACACTAATAAACTTTGCTAGTAAAGAAATAAGTAAATCAAGGTTGTTTGATTTAAAATAAATGGAGTTACTCGACAACCCGAAAAAAATATGTAAAGCAATTAATTGAAATAAGAATGAGTTGTAGTTGTTGTCGAAAAATAACAATTTAAAAACAAGCTATTTTCGAATAAGAACGAACACTAATAAACTTTGCTAATAAAAGAAAGAAGTAAATCAAGGTTGTTTGATTTAAAATAAATGGAGTTACTCGACAGCCCGAAAAAAATATCTAAAGAAATTAATTGAAATAAGAACGAGTTGTAGTTGTTGTCAAAAAATAACAATTTAAAACGAGTTATTTTCGAACAAGAACGAACACTAACAAACTTTGCTAGTAAAAGAAAGAAGTAAATCAAGGTTGTTTGGTTTAAATTAGCTTTCAATTATTATCTCTTTCTCTCATTTTTCTTTTTTTCTGGAATGGTTATGGTCAAAAAATGAAAGTTGCAGGTGTATTGTCAGCCATCAACCATTTATATTTGTTAGATACTTTGATTTGTGTGTTGAATTGAAATAATTGGCATTGGAAATTTTCATATCAATATTTTCCATCTACACACTCATTAAATACAAGAAGTATGGTCACGTCAATTGTTTATCAATTATCTTTGTATTGTAGCCCACCTCCACTCATTTATTGGATTTGTACATTTACCTGACCATACTTCAGAGCATTATTAATGAGTGACCATACTCAGTTTACAATCCACAATACCGTCTATAAATTAAGGTGATTGTTGTAATGTTATGCATTACACCTTCATCAGAAAAAAAAAAAAAAAAAAAAAAAAAAAAAAAAAAGTCATATCATCTACATCTCTCAAAGTGTAATGGATAATAATCAATACAGATCTAACCCAAATATGCCAAACTCATCGGAGGATGACAGTCCGTCTTCCGTAAATTCACGTTATACACGAAATATACAATTTTCTCAATTTCCTAGAATGCAACTACAACCCCAGTTTCAAAATTTTCCTTTTCAAGTACCCGCACCAATGCCTTCTTATCCAATGTCACAAACTTCAGAGCAACCTTCTTTTCCTCAATCACCAAATTTAATGAACATGAATCAATCCCAGTATATGTGGTCAATGCCGGCCCAATATGGCATTCCGAATGCATCTGGGATGCCTTATCAACAAGGAAATTTCATGCCGACTGGATTCTCTAGTAGTGCCATTGAAGTCCCAAGACCTGGCATGATCCCGGAGGTTGAAGGACTCGACAACATTTTCCTTGATGCAGATTCAGAAAAACCCAAGGAAGTTGAGCCAAAAAGACGGGGTAAAATGGCAGCAATGCCGTGGACACATGACGAGGATGTTTTACTATGTCGAGCTTTCTGTACCATCTCAAGTGATCCAGTCATTGGCGCTCAGCAAACGTCCGAAAGTTTTTGAAGGCGAATTACACAGTACTATAATGAAGCTGGTGAAGCACGAAACTTTGTTCAGAGAACTATGGAGGCAACAAAATCTCATTTTTATGCTTTCCATGGAGATTGCCTCAAATTTAATGCGTCAATAAACAGGTTTCGGGCTGATCAAAGAAGTGGTGAAAATGATGCAATTGTTTTGCAGAATGCATTAATGGAGTGGAATAGCGAGGGGAAAAAGAAAGGAGGCTTTACATGGCTTCATTGTTGGGAGGTATTGAAAGATAATGCCAAATTTGATGGACCATCTCACACATCCCGAGGAGGCAAGAAAGCTAGAATATTTGATACTGGAGATCACACTTCTGGATCTGGGCAAGATGTCGAGCCTAGTGGTGATGGTGGGGACAGATATGTGCGTCGACCAATTGGCCAAAAAGCAGCAAAGGCTGGGAAGAGAAAGGGAAAAGAAACTGCAGGAGGAAGCACTGGTCCAGATGTTGAACGTCTGTTGGCTGAGATTGGTCAGGTTAAAGAAATTCATCTAAAGAAACAAAAGGATTTGGAAACGCTAGTTCGTATAGAGTCATGGAAGACGTACAGAGAAATGCTAAAGGAGGATACTTCAACCATGACAGAAGAAGAATTGCAAGCCCACCAGGGACTTCTTGCCGTGCTTAAAGAAGAGCTGGGTCTCAACTGATTTTTTATGTTGTTTGACGTGTTTATTGTTCTATAATTTAAATGTTATGTATTGTTTATCTAAGTTATTATGTATTGTGTTAAATTTTATGAGTGTAAGCAATGTTTGTTGGTGTTTAGTTTATTTTAAAAAAAAAACTCGTTTTTTTAACAACACAACTAACTCGTTGTTAATTCATTATCCACTATATACTTTTCACATAATACATTAATACATAACACAAACCAGCCACTACAACATAACACCTATCACATTATTACCTAACACACTACAGTTGTGACCTACCATACCACACATACGACCTACTACCACACATGCCACCTAACACAATCACTTTTTACTATAAATACTATAGCATCATCAATTCCACATCCACATCCACAAACATAAAGTAATTCCTTCTTGATTCTGCACATCCAAAAACATCTTTCAATTCCTTTTTGATTCTTTCTTCTTATTTTTTTGTCAATTTTCAAAAATATAAATATTTTTCACTTTTCTAAAATGGCTGGCCGTAATAATGATAGAGTCTCATATCGTGCTTTCTTGAACGATATGCTTGACGATTCCTTGGAGCAAGCTGAATTTGCCTTGATGGAGGCCACGGCTATGCAATTGCAGCAAGGCAGACAAGATGAAAGTTCAACTAGGCGTGAAAGACGAGAAGTTCCTCGAAATCGTGAAGGTGGTCATGCCCTACTAATAAGGGATTATTTTGCTCCCGATCCCATATACCACGAACGCTACTTTCGTCGTAGATTCCGTATGTCCAGACGATTATTTATTCGGATCGTTCAGGATGTCGAAGGACATTCTGATTATTTTAAGTGCAGACCAGATGCAGCACAAAGACCAGGTTTTACACCAATTCAGAAGTGTACTGCGGCTATACGTCAACTAGCATACGGAGCTCCTGCCGATCAATGTGACGAGTACCTTCGTATGTCAGAGCAGACGGCGAATCGAAGTCTGCTCGAATTTTGTCGTGCTGTGCGAGAAATATATGCACCCCAATATTTGCGCCACCCAAATGCCAATGACATCCAAAGAATACTTACATTACACGAGGCGAAACATGGTTTTCCTGGCATGTTGGGAAGTCTAGATTGTATGCACTGGGAGTGGAAAAATTATCCAGTGGGATGGCAAGGCTCGTACACTCGAGGGGACCATGGGGTACCCACGATTATGCTTGAAGCACTGGCATCACAAGACTTATGGATCTGGCACGCATTTTTTGGGCTCGCAGGATCACGAAATGATATAAATGTACTGCATGAATCTCCATTATTCAATGATGTTTTACATGGTGTAGCTCCAGAGGTCAATTTTGTGGTTAACGGGACTCAGTATACCAAAGGGTATTACTTAACAGACGGTATCTATCCAGAGTGGGCCACATTTGTCAAAAGCTTTCAATGTCCAGAGGATCCAAAAAGGAAAAAATTCAAGCAAAGGCAAGAGGCTGCAAGAAAAGACGTTGAGCGTGCTTTTGGGGTCCTCCAGTCAAGGTGGGCAATTATACGAGGTCCTTCTCGTTTTTGGTATAAAGAAGATCTTAGTGAAATTATGTTATCGTGTATCATTTTGCATAGCATGATAATTGAGGATGAAGGCGAAGAAGCTACCAACTGGTCTAATGATGAATGGGAACCACCAGCGCTGGCACGTGAAAGGGGGTCTTTAAATTTTCGACGCTACTTGCAGATAAGAGCTGAGGTTCAAGACAGACAAATTCATCATCAACTTCGACACGACTTGGTTGAACATATTTGGAATGAACCTACTTGCCAAAATTAATATTTAGAAATAAAAATTGTACTCAAAATTTAATTTTCAACATTATGTAAGTTTTATGTTTCGTAATTTTTATAAATAAAATTTTACATTCGTATGCACCTAACACTACATAATTATAAATAATAAAATATAATTATAATGTAATTATATATTTTTTATATGTATTTTTGATAAATATATAAAATATTTATATTTAATAAATAAAGTAAGAGTTATAGTTTTAAGATATAAATAAAAATATACGAGTAATATTAATTAAAAGTAAGTTGGAAACATGTGGGACTCATGAAAAATGAGGTTTATGGGATTTATTGTTATTGGAGGTTTATGAATGTAGGAGTAAAGATGAGATTTTTGATGATGTGGCATATTGAGAAGTGTAAAAGTGAGGTTTAGAGAAGTTTACGGGGTCTGTTTTACTAAACATGCTCTTACTTATTTTGAAGTTTGAACTTTGAACATCGCTCCAAACGTTAAATGCGAACGGCACAGATAAACAAATAAATCAATGTTGTGGTCCTCACACAGCGCAAAAATGGCGACCGGCTCACGCGCGCGTGTTCACTCGATGAAAACGCGCCTCGACTAATTGGACGAAAAATCTGCGGGAATATAGCGATGAGGAAAAGTCAAGGGATTTACGTAATCACGGGCAGCTAACTAAACTCAGTGGGCCCGCGCCACGCTGGTTGTCCGGGCAGCGGGCAGGACTATACGACGTCGTGGTGTGTAGCCGGCCACGACTTTTGTCTTCTACTTGAGCATCTGAGCCAAATCTGCTTCGGACCGAAAGCACACACCACTCTCCGACCAATAATGGAGGAGTAAAGGAAGGGAGAGAAGGATTGCTGAAAATGAAATATTTTTTGAATTATTAGAGAGAGAGAAAAATTGTTGTTTTCCACTTTTTCCCTTTTTCTTAGAGAGAGGTAATTGTGGAACGAGAAAGACCTAGTAGGAGTGAAGAATCTCGGATGATGGAGCAGATCGTGAAGAGGAAGAAGAAAGGGAGGCCGCCGAAGGTAGATCCCGGCACCAGAGATCTGCCGCCGCCGCAGTCGGAGCGCGACCTCCGGCGAAGCCTCCGCCGCCGGAATGTAAAGTACGTCTTCGACTTCGACGATTACTTCGACGAGGATGAGCTGTTCACCGATGACGAGGACCAGCTCCGTAGGGAGAAGAAGCTGGAGCACCTACTCAAGGTCCAGACCGGCGGCGAGTCGGAGCCGACCACCCTGCAGAGGAGCCGGCGCGTGGACCACGCGCCCAACGCGTCAGCATCCTCATCGGAGGACGACGACAGGCCCTTGAAAAACCGGAAAATCAATGGTTACTTGGGCAGGGACGTAGATGACGATAACGATTACATCAATGAGGAAGATAACTACAATGGCGAAGAAGAAGAGGTGAACATCAAATTTTCCGATTCTTTCAACGCCGGAAATTAGGACAGTCAATAGGGAGAGTTGGGGATAAGTGAAGCTGTATTGGACTGAATTTATTAATTTATGCTTCACATTTGCTGATGCCCTGTTGTTTGAACTGTTAGAGGGGGGAAATAAAGAGGTCCAGCTGAGCGTTTGTTTCATCAACTCAGATTTTCAGTGCTAGTCTATAGATAGTGTTTGTGTAGGTGACTGTGAGAGTGTTGGGTGAGTCATGAGTGTGTTTTCTGTTGATGTGTATGTTTATGTAACGGTCGGGTCAACTATCAGAGGGGGAAAAAGGAAAAGAAAACAAACCAATCCCCACAGAATCTCATCACACTCATCTCTTTCTCTCTCTAGAACCATGATACACTGTGTTACAGTCTTACAGACAAACGTGTATTGTATTGTACACACACTCAGGTTCCCCACTCACATCACGCATGTTGTATGTTGCTTTCTGTGGCTGGTATAATATCAGGCGCCAACTTTTTGGCTGTCTTAAATATGCTGCATGGGGAGTTTCGAGTGGCATTTATTAGTTTCAACACTTTTTATGCGTTTAATCACTTTGTTTATTGGTTGGCTCTTGATTTGGAGTCTTAATGATTCTGCTGATTTTGACAGGTTGGGGAAAGAAAGCGGGATCTGAAAGCAGAGGAGTCACCTCCAGGTGGGTTCTTCTTCTTCTTTTTTATTTTTTTTTTCCTCAAACAAAATTTTCTTTTTTCATGGCTCTGGAAATAGTGTTCCTGCTGAAACTCTGATTTCTTTTTCTTTGTTTTTAAAATTCGGTCTGAAATTGTGTCCTCTAACTGCATAGGGACACCAGCCAGGGGACCATCTGGGCTCCAGCTGCCAGATATAAAGGCCTTGGAGTTAATTTTGGACAAACTTCAAAAGTATGTTGTTAGTTTGATATGAAATATGTGCACATTTGAGATTTTTTGAAAAAGGCCTTCTGTAATACTGAAAGTGTTGTGGTTCTTGGGCAGGAAGGATATTTATGGTGTTTATGCAGAACCGGTTGATCCTGAAGAAGTAAGTAGCTGTTTTTTTAGGAGATTTTTTCTTATTTTGGTTATGTTTTATGTTTCTGTCATTATAGTTTTTGGATCACTTGTTTCTTGGTGCAGCTTCCGGATTACCATGATATAATAGAAAATCCAATGGACTTTGCCACCGTGAGGAATAAGCTGGGAAATGGATCATATGCAACCTTCGAACAATTTGAGGTGAGCTCTCTCTGTGATCTGTTCCTCTCTCTTTCTCTCTCTCCTTGAATCTATTGTAACTTTCTTTGGTCTGGCATTGCAATTGCAGGGAATGTTTGATTGCAAAGTTCTACCAATCAATTGTTTATTTATTTATTTTTTTCATGTCAAGTGCACAGTTGCCCTGCTCGAAATACTTTTTTGCTTTTCTGTTCATCTCATGAGATCTGTGTGAGCTAGGGTTACCTGCACCAGTCTTGAAAAACTGATGCTCAGACTTCCTGTACATTAAGCTTTATCAGTCCTTGTATGGTTTGGTGATCAGAATTTATCTGTGTGAGTTGTTTTGGTTATACTGGTTGGTGAAAACTTATAATTTCTTATTGTTCTGGAATTTCAGAACTCTGATGTGTCAAATGACAGTATTTGATCTTAGACTGACTTGAAGCAATTACACTAAATCTACTATTGCTGATGTTTTAGCCCTTGCATTTATAAATTAATCAAAATAGATATTGTTCTAAAGTTAGCGTTGGCATGGTCTTTCCCTGTGGGCCACCTTTTCCCCCCACTGCGAACATGAGATTTGATCTATTGTGATCATTTATTTGAAGTGAAAATTGCTTGTCCCTGGTTTCTGTTCTTGCTAGATGCCTTGAGATGTTTTTCATCAACTGTTGTATTTCCTGGGAGGAAATGTTAAATTTATCTCAGTACCTGCTTGATGGTTTTTATTCCATCAGATATCCTTTCATACAATGTGCTTGTATCATCTCCACAACCTCGAATTAAATTTTGTATATCTTCCATAATAAATTTCATATCATTGTGTTATCAAAGTTCAAGGGCCCCTTACTAATCATTTTCTCTTTCATGATTATATATCTTCCATGTGCTGCAGAGTGATGTTTTCCTCATTTGCTCAAATGCGATGCAATATAATGCACCGGATACTGTATACTACAAACATGTAAAAAACCTTTACTCTTTCTTTTTCTTTTTCTTTTGTCATTATTCTCTCAGGCATCTGTTGACTTATTTATATTTGATTTGATAAGGCACGCAACATCCAAGAGCTGGCAAAAAGGAAATTCGAAAAGATAGGATTAAAGATAGAACGCATGGAGAAAGGGATCAAACCTGAGCAGAAGTCGAGATCCAGCTTTATTTCAAAGAAGCAGATTAGAAGGTCTGTAGGTCGACCACCGATGCAAGAACCAGTGGGCTCGGATTTCTCTTCTGGAGCTACTCTTGCCACTGCTGGCGATAACCATAACGTCTCAAATGCACTTCAAGCACCTGGTATTGTCGATGGGCCAGCTGAGTGTATTTCGTTCGTCAGTGATAGCAATTTAGACAAGACGGAAGAATCATTGCCAGGTTTTTTTTGTCCATTTTATTTTATTTCTTTGAAACTTGTAATTTAAGCCTCTTGCACCAAAACTAATAGCTGATTGTATAAAAACGACCCATTTTTGGATATATGCATCTTGCTATGATTATATATTATTGTTTTAATTTAATTATTCAACTTTGTTACTTCTGGGGTAACCAAATGGGTATCCTCCTTGTAGGAAATGGTACACCGTCTCGATTTGGTAGGAAACCCTTTCTGTATGACGAAAACCGTCGTGCAACGTATACCATATCTCTATCTGAAGCTGTGGTCAGCCCGAACTCGATATTCTCGACTTTTGATGAAGAAACCAAACAGCTGGTTCCTGTATGAATCTTCATGATCTCGTCTTACAGATTCATGCCAATTATAATTTGTATATTTTATTTCTTTAATTGTTTTCAATTTCCGACAAATCAGGTAGGAGTCTATGCGGATCATTCGTACGCAGGAAGCCTGGCCCGTTTTGCGGCAACCCTTGGGCCCGTTGCCTGGACAGTTGCTTCTAAGAGGATTGAACAGGCTCTTCCCCAAGAGTTGAAGTTCGGACAAGGTTGGGTTGGAGAGTACGAGCCGCTTCCAACTCCCATATTAATGCTCAAAAACCACACCATAAAGGAGCCTCCTTTTTTTGCCAAAGTACAGCCCAATGCTCATTCTCGGAAGTTAGAAAAATTCCCTTCTAACTTGGTCACCAAAATCCCAGTCAGCTTGCCTTTGCCAGTAAACAAGCTGCCACCTTTTTACTCCCCAGTGAGCAAAACACCTCCAGCCGTAATTGCTCGGCCAACTGGAGCGAATAATAATATTGTAGAGACTAAGTCACAGTTCTTTTTACAATCAAGGTCTATCTTTGAAACCGACAAAAAAAATTTCGCAAAGCACGTTGAGTCGAATGGCGGTCCTCCATCAGTACATAAGAAATCTACTGACCATGTCGCGAACAGACAGATTCCCAGAGGTTTGGAAGCAGAAGCTTCTGGATCTCCACGAAACATGAGCTTCCCTCCAATTGTACCTTTTAAACAGCCAGACACCAACGAGCCTGCTTTCCAGCTAATGCAACAGCTGTCGGAAAATTCTCGGCAAAGCCAACCGAAGCCCCCAAACGCGGCCTTAGCTGCTGCCCGTGCATGGATGTCCGTGGGGTCTGGTGGTTTCAGGCCAACTCCCGAGAACGTGAACAAGGTACACGCAGACTCGGTTTATAACACCACTTGGGAAATGCAGTCACAGGAATTGAGATTCCATGGGAATATTTCGAATATTTCGCCCGTTTATGGTTTTGTTGGGCAAGGGCAGATGCCAGTGATGGTGGGAAGTAATCAGATGTTGCAGTCGTCCACCTGGCGGGGTGTGGGCCCCCAAATGCAGCTGATGATGCAAAATCAGGAGAAATATCCTCCGGATTTGAATATCGGGATTCAGTCGTCAGGGTCTCCCGGGAGGCCGTCATCTGGGTTGCTGGTTGATTCTCAGCAGCCGGATTTGGCTCTTCAGCTCTGAGACTTGTATTTTAGAGAGAGAATATATGAAAATAAAGAAAGAAAAGAAAAGGAGATAGGATGTTCTAGAAGGGGATCGGTTTCCAACTCCAAACCTTGCTATGGTGAGATTGGATGGTGATTTTAGGTTATAGTTTTTAGTGTTTAGGCAGATAAATAGAGACAGCTGGGTTTTGCAGTGTGGATGGATTTGTCAGAAGTGCTTTGTTTCATGTTATTTCGAGTGGTGTTTGTAAGAAACTATGATGAGTTTTCAGCTTGTGGTAACTATGATCCACTCACAGGGCTTAAATTTTATTTGCCTGTAAAATGGTGGGGAGGTGAAAAACCACAGATTTGTGTCTGAATTTTCCTTTCCAGAAGCCCTACTATGAGGTTGCCTTCTGTTGTGCTCAAGTAATGGAAAATTCTTAGAGCTTTGTATTAATTAGGTGTAACCCATGACGGGGTTTGTACCGACTAAGAAACAGTAGAGGCTGAGCTTGTAATCATCAATCCAGGTTTATTTGTAATATGTGACTGTTTATGCAGATTAGGATGGTAATGCTTCCCAGTTTACAGGTACAATGAATCTAATTAGTACTTCTGTCTAGTCAAGCAGAGCGAGAGTTATACATATTGGGACTGCTTTATTACACGAGTACTCAAAAGTTTATTATTATGACCAGTGTTGTAGAAGTTGCTAGCCGCCTGGTGGGAACTCCACAAGCACCTAGCGCCTAGGTGGAGTCTAGTTGGCGACTAGACAGGACTTAGAAATTAAATTAAATATCTTATTTTTTTATTTATTCATTATTTATAAAATAAAACTATCTAAACTTATAATAAATTAACACACTCCAAGTTCAAATAATAATATTAAAATATGATAATAAAATAATGTGATCAGCATTTAATAAAAAAAAAGAAAAAAATTGTCGCCGAGCTCGCCTAGGTGCTGCCAAGGCCAGGCTGACGAGCCCGCCTAGGAGTGCCTAGGTCTGCCTACGCGCCGCCTTGCCGATTTTTTCAGCCGATTTATGCAAATTAGAGGTGGCCAGACAGCACTTAGCGCTTAGGTGCCGCCTAGGCCGATTTTTAGTACAGAGATTATGAGTAGTTTTGCGAAGAACTTTGGTTCAAGTATGTCAATTTAATTGTTGAAAAAACGAAATGAGAGCATTGAAAAAGGGTTGATTTTAAAGATTTCAATGTGATAACTTATAGTTTGAATAGTGTTGAACATCTTCAGCCGAACTTGTTTATTAAACGCCACGTGTCGGCTATTATGAGCTTAAGGAAATGGCATTTGGGTCTATCTGAAACGCCACGTCTCAGCTATTCTGAGCTTAAGAGAACGACATTTAGGAAGAGATCGACAATGGAGGAAATAATTAGACCCTAAAAGAGCAATTACTGTCAATCTTGATCGATGATCGATCTAAATGTGAATGCAAAGCTTCTTTCGTGTCGATCTATCTCGATGCTTGATAGAAGCTATCCCCCGACAGCCCCTAGAAAAGCACACGTCTGAACTCGACCAGCACCTAGCACCTAAGAGGGGTCTAGTCGGCGCCTAAAAATCAAATTAAATATCTTATTTTTTATTTATTTTCACTACCTACAAAATAAACTATCTGAACTTATAATAAATCAACACACTCCAAGTTCAAATAATAATATTAATATATAATAAAGAAAATATGATAACAAAATAATGTAATTAGTATTTAAAAAAAAAAGTTGTAGCCAAGCCCGCCTAGGAGCGCCTAGGTCCGCCTGACCGATTTTTTCAATTGATTTATGCGAATCGGAGGTAGTCGGGCAGCACCTAGTGCCTAGGCGTGGTCTATGGCGATTTTTAGTACAGAAATTATGAGTAGTTTTGCGAAGAACTTTGGTTCAAGTAGGTCAATTTAAGTGTTGAAAAAACGAAATGAGGGCATTGGAAAAGGGCTGATTTTAAAGATTTTAATGTGATAACTTATAGATTGAATAGTGTTGAACATCCTCAGCCGAACTTTTTAATAAACGCCATGTGTCGGCTATTATGAGCTTAAGAGAATGGCATTTGGGTCTATCTGAAACGCCACGTCTCAACTATTATAAGCTTAAGAGAACTACATTTGGGCAAAGATTGACAGTGGGGGAAATAATTAGACCCTAAAAGAGCAATTACTGTCAATCTGGATCAATGATCGATCTGAATGTGAATGCAAAGCTTCTTTCGTGCCGATCTATCTCGATGCTTGATAGAAGCTAGCCCCCGATAGCCCCTAGAAAAGCACACGTCTGATCTCTGAAAAGGATGAATACACGTGTCTTCTTGGTTGCTAAGGATTTCCTTTCCGGTGATAAGTGTCCAGTGAATACGTAAGGTGGCATGACGTAGCACATGTCATGATGATTTTTATTTTTTAATCTTGAATAAAATAAACACGACATAAAAAATACTCAAAGCAGTTATTACAACAATTATTACGCCCTATTATTCTCATGCCAACCTACTCACAGTATCACACATCTTTTCAATGTCGATCTCATTCTACTGTTGGATTATGTAGCGGTGGATCCAATAAAACCCCTCCTTAAAATGTTGATGTGAGGTCCATTCCTAGATATTGTTTGTAAATATCAATGACTCATATTAATCAATTGAGATTTACATTAATTATATAATAGAAAATATAATCATTATATTTATATTAATTATCTGATAAATAAATTGATTGGCAACCGTTGGCTGGCGGCCGACGGCTATTGAATGTCGTTAATCAAACGCTGGCGACCGACATTTACTGGAGGAGCATAGGGTTGAAAAGCAGAGGATAACGCCAGTAGATGAGACGACGACAGAGGAAGACACTTTTGGAGGGAGGGTAGAGGGAGGTGTCATGCCAGGAGCTGGTGGCGACATTGAGCAGAGGGCATATCCAAGAGAACTGGGGCTTTGAGAGAAGGAGGAAGGCGTGGAAAGGCCGACAACGGGAGGAGAAGGCGGGAATAGGGGCAGAGAGGAGGGCGTTGAAGTTCTTGCAGGTGGATGTGAGGGTCAATAGGGTTTTGAGGGGGATAAAGGATAGGACATGCTTCGATAGGCGAATCTAATAAGGCAGACTAATAAATAAGGAATACTATTAGGATAAGAACCACAAGTGGATAGGGCCATGTGGCCTCACAAACTGGTAGTTCGGGCAGTACAGACGGGTAGTTCGGGCAGTACGGACGGGTAGTTCGGACAGATCGGGCAGCTCATTAAGCCAGTCTTAAGCAACAAGGTAACACATCCCTATATCAGGGAGTGATGTATGCCCACTAGAACATTACATTCTCTACATACTTTACAGACTGATAGATTTTTATACACTGTTCATCATCTTCTTCATGTTCTGCTTTGAGCGTTGGAGGCTCTACGCCAGGAAACCCCCCGACGTTGAGTTTGTGTAGGTATCGAAGGTCATCCACTGGCGAGAAAGGCAATCCAGGTCGAACTGAGACGGTCCGAGGTCTTTTACATACCATTTGGCGTCGTTTTGTGAGAACTTTGTTAAAAAATCCATCAAGCTTCATCATCCATGACGAACGAGGATCCTAGGAAGAATCTTGAGCCCACGTTTAAAGAGGCGCAGTGCCCCTACCTCATTTTTCCACCAGTTCTCAGATTATGGGACCCCGATGCCCAACCTCCCGGGCCTAAGGGACACCTCAGCGGTCTAAGCTACCACTAGGCTCAAGCACCTAGGTCCCAATTGCAGCCGGAGCGGAGGTTGCAATTACCGAGCAGACGCAACCTGTGGTCACACAAGCGTAGCCAAAGCGAGTGATGGTCCCGTTGATTGGGCAAGAGCGGGGAGAGCGACAACTCATTAGGTTGTCTAAGGATGAGCTCGGAAAGATGATCGCAGACGCAGTTGCAGCCGGAGCAGCCCAGTAGTTCACTCAACAAGCATCTCACGCGACCACTATAGCAACTACTGCAGTGGGTACGCCCTGGCGGAAAGCAGTAGTCGAGGAGTCGAGCAGCATGGCCACTGGAGTATATAAGGATCGAGTTGTTGAGAATATGGCGAAGCAGATCCGTCAGTTGTAGACGAAGGTCTAGGGAAAGGCCGTTGGTAAAGCTCGAGGGCATCCTTTTTCCAGGGATATTCTTGAAGTTGCGCTACAACCAATTTCAGGGAGGTTAGTCTTACCTATAACGGGTAGACTAATTTATCAAGGTATTTGAGGTCTTTTGAGAATATGTCTGTGTTGCATGGTTATTCTGATACAGTGAGCTGTCGAGCTTTTTTGGCCACCTTGAGGGGTGGGGCTAAAGATTGGTTTCATTAACTCCCACCAGGGTCGGTGAGAGATTTTCAGGACTTTTCGAGCTTGATTTTAAATCAGTATGCTAGTGGGATAGCCCAAGAAAAAAACTTACTTGACTTTGATAGCGACGAGGCAAGAGGAGAGCGAGTCCTTGCAGAATTATTTGTCCCGGTACAATCGAGCTTGTGTGGAATTATTTCAGCCGATTTGTGCAAATCAGAGTCGGTTGGGCAACGCCTAGCGCCTAGGCGGTCCCCTAGACTGATTTTTAAGATAGTGATTAAAATTATGTGAGTGAATAAATAGTGGAATAAAATTCATATGATTATTGTTATATGATTATACAATGATGATTGACTAATATTATTTAATTATATGGATAAAATTAAAGATAATGAGGTGAAACTAAAATTGAGTTAAATTTATTTATTTATTTATTGGATTGAATTTATATCCAATCACACCATTACTCACTCTTAAGGATAGAATAAATAAGTCAGAAGAGAGACGCACAACCATGAATAAATAGTGGATAAAGTTCATATGATTGTACAATAATGATTCACTAATATTATTTAATTATATGAATAAAATTAAAAATAATAAGGTAAAACTAAAATTGAGTTAAATTTATTTATTTATTTATTTATTTATTTTGAATTGAATTTATATCCAATCACACCGTCACTCACTTCCAACGGAAAGGATAAATAAGTCAGAAGACGAAAGGATAAATAAGTGAGAAGAAAGACGCACAACCAAATTTTCGATACATTCTCCAATCCGCTTCGTGTAGGGTTCTCAAATTTTCTTTTTCATTTTCTTCATAATTATTTATTTTCACCGTATAATTACTGAATCCGATCATTGCTTTTGCTTTTCTTCTTCTTTTTCGCAGTTGGGAAAGTCGGATTTCTGCCGCCGAACTCCATGGCTAAAAGTTACTTCAAGTTGGAGCATCCACTCGGTATAGTTCGAATTTGTATTGTTCATTAACCCTAGCTATCGTCTACTTTCATGGTTTGGCTGATTTGATTTGTCGATTGTTCTGTGGACTTGAATTTTTCTGAGTCTTTATACTTAATCATCCAACTGGCATGTCAGCGGAGTTGCAAGATCCGGTCCGAAGAGTTTGTGCGTTTTCGTTTTTTTGCTTATTTTGATCTGTTATTCTAGTTTAATGATGGGATTGGTATGCGATAATTGGCTTTATGTATGTGTAATTTATGAAAATTGGCTCTCAGTTGATCTGTTTATTTATATCTGAACCTTGAGGATTCTTCTTGCAACTACCTAAAACTCGGGGGCAACTTTTATAATTTCAGATTTAATTAAATTACTAGAAACATTGGCCTTTTATGATAGTTAGTACAACTTCAAGAATAAAGATAATATTTTTTTATGTTCTTTTTCGGCACATTCTGTAAGAAGCTGATGTTCTATGCTTGAATTAATTTTGTCCTTGTAAGAAAAGCCTTTAAGGTTATATGTTCTAGGCAAGTCATTCTCCATACATATGCATTTCCCTTTTATTATCATATTATAGCATTAGTTTTTACATGCTGCAGAAAGGCGGCAGGCTGAAGCTGCTCGTATCAGGGAGAAGTACCCAGACCGAATTCCGGTATATTCATTCACATGCACTTCTTTATGCTGTTTTGGGTATTTTTAGTTTTTTTTTTGCCCCGTCATCATTAATCAGCTTGTGGTATTTTAGGTTATTGTGGAGAAGGCGGAAAGAAGCGACATCCCTGACATTGACAAGAAAAAGTCAGCTTCCCTTCATTCTCTTTCTGTATTTGGGTTATTTGTAGAATTTAATTTCACCTGCGTGCTAAAGTTCAATTTTTTTAGTTTAAGGAGAGTTTGAGACGTAGATTTCTTGCAATTAGTAAAAACTTGTTAAAATTTGAATGGTTCTTTCAGAGAAAACCATATGTAATCCTGTATAAATGGAGATTATTACGGCATAATAGCTTCATCTACCAAATTTTAGGGGATGATGTGTATAAAATAACCTGTGCTTTCGATTACTACAAATATATACCACGACTCGTTGCTGATTGGTGTTGTCATAATAAATTTTGAATTAAAAATGTAGGTATCTTGTCCCCGCTGACCTCACTGTTGGGCAATTCGTTTATGTTGTTCGCAAAAGAATCAAGCTCAGTGCCGAGAAGGCTATCTTCATATTTGTCAAAAACATTCTCCCACCTACTGGTAAGGAAAAACTTGATAGATCTTGATGTCTTATATATGAATATAGTTTTGTTGCACTTTTTGGCTTTTCTTTCCCACACATTAAGCCTTATGTGTTAATGCAGCTGCAATGATGTCTGCAATATATGAGGAGAACAAAGATGAGGATGGTTTCTTGTACATGACTTACAGTGGTGAGAACACTTTTGGATTTCTCTGAATTGAAAGGATCCAGTTGGTCTATGTAAATAGTTTCATCCAATGACAAAGACTTGTAAATTTCTTTGATTATCTATCTAGCTGGTGTTATCAATCTCTTCCCAAGAGATTGTTTGTTCCGAAAAAATGTTGGCAAACTTTTATGAATTGAATATTTTAAAATGATGGTTGCTTTTAAGAATATATTTTCTCTGTTCTACCTTTGGATGTTGTTTCTGTGATATAGTTACCTTTCTTTCATAGCAGCTTGATCTTAGTTTTGATTTGCACTTCCTCACCACCTCGACACCAAAGATTTTACTTTTCACTCGTTTCAAATATTTTGAAAGAGGGCCAAAAAATTAAAATTTGAGGACTAATTCCATTCAAGAATGGCTTCATTTAAACAACATTAATTAATGTCTGTTTTTACTGATTTTCACTCCATTGCTTCAATCCTTTCATCAATTGTGCAACCATAAGGGGAATCATAGAAGAGTTTATGACAATCCTATGTTATCGTAGTGCTCGAATGTTCTACATTTCTGTTCAGTAAAGATGCCAGGAAAAAAAGATATATGGGGCTCACTTTTCATTTTTAGACCTTTTTTAATTCGCTGTGTCGTGTTTTTTGAAATTACACAAGATTTACGTGGCGAATTTATTTTTGGTTCTAGCTTGGCGAGCTGCGGATCTAGGCGGTCTCTGACCTGTCCTCCCGCTCTTTCAGCCATTGGCTGTATTATTCAGCCTTGGGTTGTACTTTGCACATTTGTGCATTTTGAATTATAATATTTCTATCGTTCGGTCAAAAAAAAAAAATAAAATTTATTTTTGGTTCACTCAATAGATAAGAAAAAACGTGAATAAAATGAACTTTTCAAATCATAAAGATTGTTGACATTTTTCTGTCATACAGTGGTATGTATGTTCACATTTTCCCAACAAATGGAGGGTATGAACACATTACACATACATACATTTTTTTGTCAATCTTAATTTGTTATTGACAATAAAATATGATATGAATATGTGTCAAGGATTAATGAAAAAGATAATAGATACGATTAGCTTGCACTTAATAAATAGACTAGCTCGATACAATCTACACTTGCCAAGTTAAGAATCTCAAGTTTTTCGTTTTCCACATTAAAAAATCCCAGTATTCAGTATGATGTTCTACAAAATATGATTGAAACAGCACGAGGTTACTTAATTTGCTGAGCTACTAAACAAACATATGTCAGAAATAGTCAGCAATTGTGAGTTGTTGGTGGGAGTTTGAGGGCATTTGAAGATTTTCCAACTCACCAGAAGCTTTTGTATCAAGAACTGCATTCCCCATGTTATACCAATCTAGCGTCTGGCTGCTGCTTGGAAAAAACTCGAGCAGACTCGATAGTTCGTCAGACATGGTGTTCATATGCCCCTGCTCTTCCTCTACTTCCCCTTAGCAGTTGATAATCATGAACACATTCCCAAAATAATAAATCAAAACAAAATTAAACAAGGAACAAGTTTTTGTTACTTACTGAANAACTAACCTGCTACATCATTATTCCCATTCTTGGATTCTTGATATCTGCTTGTTGAAAAGTTCTCATCCTCCCACAAGTTATCCACCAGTAAACCCTGCATGAAGCTCTGCTGCCCCTGTTTTGTGGGCCCCACTTGGTTAACCGAGTCAACCAGGTTGTCTATCAGATTTGCAGCCGGCAATGGATTCCCAAACATGGCTTCTCGTTTGCAAAGCCCTGAATTTTCGCCGGAAAATTGCTCGACGCTAAAATATTCCTGCTCCATGATCGGGTTACTCACCAGGCTGCAAGAATCCAATAGCTCGGATTCCGGATATTGGTTATTCATTAGTTCGCAAAATGTCGACTTTATTCCCATATTATCATCCATTGAGCCGTCCTTGACGAGTTTCCTCTCGAACCCGTTTGCGATTTCCTGCCCAAAACTATAGCCAAAGTATTGGTCGTCATCTGGGTGAAAGTGGCTCGACCTTTGATCAAACAAATCCCCTTGTATGGCATCTTGTTGTAAAAGAGTGGAGCTTTGGCTGTATAAGGTGACCATGGTAGAGCATTCGTCTGGAGTTATTTTAGTGTTTTGGGCAGTGAGATGGTTGAAAAGGTCTATGGAGTGACTTTCCCCCTTGAAAATTTCGTTAAGAGTGAAAGATGAACAATTTTTCGGAGGGACTTCGCTACTTGGCTTAGTTTCCGTCTCTGTACTTTCTTCACTAGCGCTCGTGATCGTGTTGTTACCTTTGTTTCTTGGAATATTTATTAGAGTTGTTTTTATTTTCTTCGAACTTGTCATGTGTAATGTGCATGCTTTAGTCGTGCTATCGGTTGAGTTCACATCAAGTGGACTCTCACTCGCCGCTTCTGGACTCCCTTTGGGTTGGTTTTTCTGATTCAAAATTCTTTTCAGCTTCAGTTTATTCTTTAGGAATTTGACCTTGGCTTGAGCTTCCTTCAGTTCTTCCATAATCTCCAAACTGCAATCAGGTTCCTCTTGGATTGAAGGGGCCTCCCTTTTCATTTGTTGAGGAACATTGTTGTTAAAATGGGCGGTCGTGGAATTTGATTGGAAGAAAGATTCGGAAGGTATGGGGATTGATAGACGGAGTTTGAGGGGAGAGATTGGGGCCGCATTTGGCGATTGGTGTTGAAATGTGGGCAAAGAAGAAGTTGTTTGCACTGTGGGTGATAGGTTGAGTTTTAGGGGAGACCTTGGTGACTCCATGGCCGAAGAAATTATATTTGGTGTTGAATGCGATATTTTACTATTGGTCCTCGAGAATCGTCTTAAGGAACTTTGTGGCGCGGAAAGAATGGGAGGGTTTCTGATTATCATGAAATCGTTGTTTAAACTGGTCTGAATTTGGTGTGATGTGTTGGAATGAGTTGTTTGATGTGGGGAAATAAGAAAGTTTTGGGTGGTTTGGTCGACCTTTAATATGTTCGAGGGGCTTTGTGGAATATTGTGAAAATGCGATTGGGGTGTGGAAATAGCAAATTGAGACGGCGAATGGATTGACATGTCATGGCGGGAGGACGTAGCATTCGGATTTGGTGTGGAGGGAGCAGAAGGTTGAGAGTAGAAAGTCGAAATGTGGTTGTGATTATTATTAGGAAAGTAGTTATTTTCTGCGTTGTTGTTAATGGCTTCATCGTTCTTGTGGTTTTGGTTATGTTGTGGTGGTGTTGGTGCTGTTGAAGGATAAATTGGGAGGTGGTGCTTGTGAAGTTTCTTGGCTCTCTTGTGCCACAAGTTTTTGATCTCGTTGTCTGATCTCCCTGGAAGCTGCATTCATTACAACATATGTAATGATACCATTTTAAAATTTGGGATATCATAAAAGTTTTACAATATGATAAAATCACATAGGTGAAACAAAGAAATGTTTTTCCTAGTTAAACTCTTCTACTTATTCTAATTGTTAAATTAGTATATTGTCATAATAATATAGGTCTGCGGTCACCGAGTCAATTGTTGAGCGCAATAATTAATAATAAGATTTTTCAAATTATATATATACTATTTCTATCATTTAAATATACATAAAGTAACAAAATTAAATGTTTTTGTATATAAGTTTTGTACATCCAAGTGTTAATCATATTGTATATCATAATAAATATTTACCATATAAAATGGTAACTGAGTGAAGGCTGGGTTGACCGGGTTTTGACCGAGTTTGACCGTTCTCTTGCTACCCGATCCGAATAACCCACTTGGACCGATTCAGACTCCGAGTCTACCCAATGGACCGGCCCGAATTGAAAAACTATGCCTAATATATTTAAGTTTGACATATGTATGTCTAATAAATCTATTTTATTAATAATCATACAATGTGTTAACTCGGCCTAGTACGTGTTCAAACAAATTCGAGCAGTCAATACTAAACAAGTGATTAGTGTTTTCAATAATTTAATGACTAGACCAGTTAAACGAAACGAAACGAAACGAACAACTTGTGAGTTTGGCTCGTTAGCTAGTTTATTTAAAGCTCAAAAATAAAAAAATTTATGTATATTTCTTTAGCTCGTTTTGTTAAGGTTTAATAAGAACTCGTTAGTATTGATAAACGAGTTGAACTCGAACTCGAACTCGTTTCTCCACACTCGAGCTTGGCTAGCTACGATACTACTCAATTTGTCATCGCACAAATAACTACTCCTAATAATATTGAATATATTCTATGCAAGTATACAAATTGGATCTTAGAGTACGTAGCAAATCAATGGCATACCAAAAAATAAATAAATAAATAAATGAAATAAAAAGGAAAGAAAATAAATGTACAAAAATTGAGGTTTTTTTATACTCACCGAATCCCACAATCAACACATGCAAATCTCATCCTATATATGCATGCATGGCATATGCATGGACATATATTATATAGTAAATAAAAACATAGAATGATCATTATTGTCTAATATTTTTTAGTAATATAATGATGATGATATCTATCCATTCCCATATACACGAAATGAAATTATTAAATGGTACCTTTGAGGCAATGCGAGACCAGCTGTTTCCATATTTTGAATGCAGCTCAAAGATTAATTCCTCTTCTTCCTGCGTGAACGGGTACTTTTTCAGGTTGGGCCTCAAATAGTTCAACCATCGGAGCCTGCAGTTCTTAGCGGGCCTGCCCAATCCCGAATATTTCTCGATTGCAACCCAATTACGAAGCCCGTATTTATCCACGGCCCGCCTCAATTTCTCATCTTCCTCTTTGCTCCATGCCCCTTTCTTGTACACCACAACAGATGTTTGTGTCTCCGATTCTCTTCCCTTCTCATCTCCCCCTTCATAACTCTCCTCCATTTCCATTATATATATGCAAATCCAATTATATCTGATTATTTTTTTATTTTTATTTTTTTTTGGTTTACCACATCTCTTGGTCCCCTCCCCTTTATATTTTTTCAATAAAGGCTACCCTGTTCTTATTCAATCTAAGTAATGAGGTAATAATTGTTAAATAGGAACAATAACCCAACAAGAAACTGAGATATCTTCCTTTTCATGTAATTTCATGTTGGGGTGAATTGAAAAATTCACCCAGGAGTTTCTTAAAAGATGGATGAATATAAGAATTAAGCCCTTCTCGGCCTGAGAATTTTCACCGGCTGGTGAAAATTTCAAGGGTAAAAAGGAATTGTTTGAGGCTTGGTTGAAGACAACTACATATTTGATTTATATTGAGGTCAAAGTAACTTGGTTTTCGGCAAATTAAGGTTTTATATATTTCTAGGATTGTGTTGATGCCACCCAATTGGGTGGTGCCCAACTCCATTCATCTAATGACATGTCAACTAGTTTCTTTTTCTTTTTTTGGTAAGAGATTTAACTTATGTCATTTTACCATTATTTTGTTAATTGGTTTATTCTCAAGATGAAATATGTTGTACTGAAATTCAATTCTGATCAACTTTGTATATCTCATCATTATTCATATGGCAAAGTNAATGAGAGAGTAATTAATTAACTGTAAGACAAAATTACACTTTATTCAAGAACACACAAAATGCAAAAAAAAAACAATCATCATCAATTTATTGAATTTATTCTATGCAATTTCCTGGTCATTACTTATATTATGAAATAAAATGGTACCCCGTCTCGTGAAGCAGCTGACAATTTGTGTGATTTCAATTCAAATGAATATCCAAGTATGTTACATTACAATATTCCTTATAGGAATAAAATTATATCAACTGATAATTCTTATCGAGTGGAGTGGGTATTTATTAACTGCAAACATCAAGGAAGATACGAGTGATTGGTGAAATAATATGACCTAGAGAAAGCGTAACGAAAACATGCTTTTAATGTATTAAACGAAGAACAATGCAGTTTTGCATGTAATATCAAACTGCAAGCGAAAGAATTCAAATGCTTGCGAGAGCGTAAAAGACGAGAGACGGTCTAATTATTGAACACCTACTATCACATGTTCTTCTGAGGGTGTAAAATGTGAGAGACGGTCTAATTATCGAACACATACTATCAAAAGTCGATAACTAAAACTAAAAGCAAAACAAAAGTTAGAATTAGGAGAGAAAAAGAACCACCAAATGTGACTAAGGCCTAGGTAGATAGGATGAGATTGTTCTCTTATCTACTCAAGAAAGTTTGTTTGTTTGCATAGATTCAAGCTTGCGATAAAAAAAGCACTTGACTCTCGTTTTTCTGACTAACTGGTAGTTTGCTTGTACTTAATAGTATCTCCCTTACGTACAGTGTAAAACGCCGCTTTCATTGTGGCAGGCCTCATTGGTTATTTTTTAATGAATTGCTATTTATAATTTTTAATCAAGTCTTGATTGATTTAATTTGTTTTAAAATTAAGAATGCTATTATTTATTTGTGCTTTAAAGTAGCGAAGATGGTGGAAGTCCACAAACGTAAACTTTCGATGTAAAAAAAAAATGAATGCCACAATGTATTCATATTTTTATCTCCAATGGACTATGTCATGGTATAATTTTTGTAACGTGTAAGGACTACTGTGAAGCCCACTGTTTGAAAGCAAACAGTGTATTCGACATTAAACGCGTCAAATTTGTATTTATTTGATACATACAACTAACACGATTTTTATATTTTAAAAATTTAACCATGTTGTATTTACTTGATACGTAAAAATAACACAATTTTTATATTTTAAAAATTAAACCATTTTGTATTTACTTGATACATATACATAAAATTACAATTTTTATAATTTAAAAATTAAGCTACGTTACCGTGTAAAAATTTATATTTACTTAATAAATAATATAAAAATTAAACTATTTTGTATTTACTTGATACATATACATAAAAATAACGTAATTACAATTTTATAATTAAAAAATTAAAAATTTGTATTTACTTGATACATAATATAAAAACTAAAACATTTGTATTTACTTGATACACACTACAAGATTAATCATTATTAGTGACACTAATTTTAGTGACGACATTAATGGCATGACTATAAAATGATTATTGTGACGACATTCAAACATATAGCGACAGTATTTTTTATGACGACATTTGAACATATAGCGACAAAAAATTTTGCCACTAAAAATGATTATTCTTGTAGTGACATATACATAAAAATAACGTAATTTTATTTTTTATATTTTAAAAATTTGTATTTACTTGATACACAATATAAAAATTAAAACATTTGTATTTACTTGATACATAATATAAAAATTAATAAACCATTTGTATTTACTTGATACATATACATAAAAATAATATTGAATGGAATAATAGTTTTTATATTTTAAAATGAAACTACATGTCAAATTTGTATTACTTGATACATACAAATAACACGATTTTTATATTTTCAAAATTAGACTAAGTTGTATTTACACATACAAATGACGGAAGGAAAGTGAAGCATTGGAGAGAGTTTTACAATGTTACATTATACAATGTCAACATCGATGTTATAAAAGTTCACAATCCAATTAATTACTGCCATGTGGCATGGACATTATAACATTGACCCTCATGCACTAGAGATGCTCTAATCACCTTTTCATTTAATTAATCGGAGTCTGATCAGGTACGGATCTAGAAATTAAGAGTAGACCGAGTTAGAATTTTAAAAATTATTTTTCGTAAAAATCATATAATCTTTTTTCTTCAAATATTCATTGAAGTTGTGCTCGACAAGCTTCAACAAAAAAAAAAAATATTATGCTCATTTTGCACCGTATTTGATGCGCTTTTACTAGTTTGATGTTGATCTCACTTTCTAAAGAACGATGATATCAATTGTGTTTTTCCTCTCTTGGTCGAAGGTTGGTGCTCCATGTGAATTTCTAAAAATTCTACAATATAAATAAATAGATTTCCATACGACATAGTTACTAGCAAAATGAAATACCTACACATCATAAATTATATCCAACTATGATATACAACAACTACATTAGAGGATAAGAGATTAAAAAAATACAGACACACACAAAATTACTGCTGCATACACAATCAACAAAAAAGAATTGCAACTAATGATCCTAGCAATTACTATAAAACCCTAATTAACTCAACTAAACTGAGAAGATAGATAAAAACAATTAGACAAATGAAATAAATATCTAATAGAGGGTTTAAAAATATAGCTTACTATTAAAGAAGAAATTAAATCGTCTTCATAAAAGTAGTCTCTTTCTTGTTTAATTTTTTTTCTTCTAAATTAATTGTTCCGATGTTCAGAGGAGAGGCATGACCGTGGTTAATTTATTTAATTGGAGTTTAGTGTATAGTGGTGTTTTGTGGGTTAGTGCCTAGTGAAAATGGTGGATCAACAATATAAAACATTTTGTTTGAATGGTATTAGTAGTCTTTGGACTTAATAAATAAGTGAATTATTTTGTTGTAGTATGTTGGTTTATTGGGCTGAGTTAAAAATATAAAAACTTTTTATTTCAAACTAATAGTTATTAAAAAAATAATAATAATAATAGGCCTGGGCTTCAACCCAGCCCAGGCCTCAAGTAGGTCCGTCTCTGAGTCTCATTTTGTATTTTACTCCCTCTTTCGGGAAATAATTCAGAAATAAATGTTGAATTTTGTTGGACTTTTTTAATTTATTATTTTATATTGTTGTTCTGTTTATGTAGTTTGAATTCTTAAAGAAAGGAAAAATAATAATCAAATATAATATATACATAAATTAATTAAAGTATTGAAAGATATATAATAATTATTATAAAATATAATAAATATAAAATTATGGAGATCAAGTTATAATATTAGGCAATACATTAATTATATATTTTTTAGGATTGGGTCTATTTGTTAAAAGGTGTTACTATTTACTCCTTTTATTAC